TCCATATCTAGCAAATCGACAGCAGAGCCCTCTAGAGGGAGCCACCGGCTCTATATGTAAGTTTCAAAGGTCAGCAACTCAAAAGCAGGGGCCTCCAAGGAAGGCTAGCGTACAATAAAAGTCTCTGAGGCCAGGTATATGAAAAAAGTACCCTTTGAGACTAGTTAGACGACAGTTATGTCATCTAAGTGCAACGCCTTTAAATCAGGGGACTCCATGTCTAGCAAATCGACAGCAGAGGCCTCTAGAGGGAGCCACCGGCTCTATATGTAAGTTTCAAGGGTCAGTAACTCAAAAGCAGGGATCTCTAAGGCTGGTTAGCCTACAATATTAGTCTCTGAGGCCAGTTAAATGAAAAAATTAAAATTCGAGATTAGTTAGAAGAACATTTCGTTATCTAAGTCCAACGCCTCTAAATCAGGAATCCACGTCTAGCAAATCGACAGCAGATGCCTTCTAGTCAGTTACTGTACAAAAACGGCTCTAAATCAGAGAACTCCACGTTAAGCACATCGACAGCAGAGGCCTCTAGAGGGAGCCACCGGTTCTATATGTAAGTTTTAAAGGTCAGCAACTCAAAAGCAGGTTAGTAGGCTAACCAATAGTCTCTGAGGCCAGTTATAAGAAAAATTTAAACTGTGAGGCTAGTTAGAAGAACGTTACGTCATCTAAGTCCAAGGGCTCTAAATCAGCGGATTCCACGTCTAGCACATTGACACAGAGGTCGTCCAGTCAGTTACTGTACAAAAATAATCTCTTAGGTCAGCTATTCAAAAGCAGAGAGCTTTAAGGCAGATTCTCTAAAGTAAAAAATCTCTGAGACCCTTGCTGAACAGAAGAGGACTCTGCTACTTTTTAGACAACTTTTCGTTAGAGGTCTCTGATGCCATCGGCTCTACAGTGAAGGTCCTAAAACACCAGTAGTCGAAAGCATGGGTCTCCAATGCCTCTTGAATTCTATTGGGCCGACAGAGTCTGTATTCAAAGGAAGGCCATGGAGGCAATTGGAGCCCAACATGCTTTTGTAAGTGATTTAATGCCAAGGGATCCTATATTCAGGGGGTGATGTTCAGGGGGAGTATATGTACGATAACCAGAAACTCTGCCGGCTTATTTTGGGCGGACTGAAGCCCTTGAGAAGTTTTGGAAACTAAAATATAAAAAAGAAAGAGTTTACATTTTTTTTTCAAATCCCCCACAAAATGGTTCGTGGCTTAGGTCATCTCTTTAAATCCAGAGACAAAAGGACGCTATTTTATTTGTTAAAAACTAAATGGAGTTTTTTTTGAAATCCCCCCAAATTTTTTCGCTGGTTATCTCACCTTCCCTCCATTCATTCGGCATTTAAATCAAACTGCATTTTCTATTTTCGTTCTTCATCGATATTTTATAATAACCACAGTGTCCAGAATTAATTAATGAATTGTAACATTTTTCAAAATTTCCTCAAATTTGTTCGCTGGGTAATTTCATACACCCTTTTATTCATTCGATCTGTAATTGAATTTCGAGACAAAATTACACTATTGTTTTAGAGCAAAATAAAAAAAGTAAATCAATTAATTGTTTTCAAAACACCAATAAAATTGTTCGCTGGGTTATCTCCTTCTCGCCAAAATTGTTGACTGGGTTACCGTCATTGGGTGAATATTTATTTAAATCTTTATAAGAATGAATGATGTTTTATTGGAAACTAGAGTCCATAAATTATTGAATTTTTAAAATTTCCCCAAAAATGTTCACTGGGTTATGTCCTTCTCTTTTTATTCTCCATCCGCAGACAAATCGACACTATTTAAGGATAACAGTACAGATCGATATTGAAATCTAGAGTGCAGAGATAGAATTTTTGTATTTTTAGAATTTTCACAAAATGGTTGACTGGGTTACTGGCTCTACTCTCATTTGTTCTGTATTTAAAATAAAAAAAATTAAATTAAAAATTATTGCTATCGTATTGAAAACTGTAATCCATAAATTATTGAATTTTTTAAAATTTCATCAAATTCGTTCACTGGGTTATGTAGCCTTCCCCTCCATTCGTTGGGAATTTAAATCTCGAGACAAATGAACACTTTTTTTGGCTACAAAAACAGATCGGTATTAAAATCTAGAGTCTAGAGATAGAATTTTTGAATTTTTTAAATTCCCACAAAATTGTTCACTGGGTTATCGCCTCTACTCTCATTCGTTTTGCATTTAAATCTTCATAAAAATTATTTCTATTTTATTGGAAACTGGAATCCATAAATTATTGAATTTTTAAAATTCTTCTCGAATTTGTTCACTGGGTTATGTCGCCTTCTCCCTCCATTCTCCATCCGCAGACAAATGGTCGCTATTTAAAGATAACAATACGGATCGGTATTAAAATCTAGAGTATAGAGAGAGAATTCTTGTATTTTTTTTTTTTTTTGAATTCTCACTAAATTGTTCACTGGGTTACCACCTCTGAAATTCATTTTGTATTTAAATCTTCATAAAAATTATTGTTTTTTTTTTCTTGAAAATTGTAATCCATAAATTATTGAATTTTTAAAAATTCCTCCCAAATTTGTTCACAGGGTTATGTCGCCTTCTCTCTCCGGTCGTTGTGTACTTACATCCGCAGAGAAAATAACAATATTTTTGGATAAAAATACAGATCGGTATTAAAATCTAGAGTTAACGAGAAAATTTGTTTTTTTTTTTTTTTTTTTTTGAATTCCCACAAAATTGTTCACTGGGTTACCGCTTCTACTCTCATTCATTTAAATCTTTATAAAAATTATTGCTATTTTCTTGAAAATTGTAATCCATAAATTATTGAATTTTTAAAAATTCCTCCCAAATTTGTTCACTGGGTTATGTCGCCTTCTCTCTCCGATCGTTGTGTACTTACATCCGCAGAGAAAAGAACAATATTTTTGGATAAAAATACAGATCGGTATTAAAATCTAGAGTTAACGAGAAAATTTGTTTTTTTTTTTTTTTTTTTTTTGAATTCCCACAAAATTGTTCACTGGGTTACCGCTTCTACTCTCATTCATTTAAATCTTTATAAAAATTATTGCTATTTTCTTGAAAATTGTAATCCATAAATTATTGAATTTTTAAAAATTCCTCCCAAATTTGTTCACTGGGTTATGTCGCCTTCTCTCTCCGGTCGTTGTGTACTTACATCCGCAGAGAAAATAACAATATTTTTGGATAAAAATACAGATCGGTATTAAAATCTAGAGTTAACGAGAAAATTTGTTTTTTTTTTTTTTTTTTTTTTTTTGAATTCCCACAAAATTGTTCACTGGGTTACCGCTTCTACTCTCATTCATTTAAATCTTTATAAAAATTATTGCTATTTTCTTGAAAATTGTAATCCATAAATTATTGAATTTTTAAAAATTCCTCCCAAATTTGTTCACTGGGTTATGTCGCCTTCTCCCTCCATTCATTTGGGTGTATTTAAATCCCGAGACAAATTGACGCTATTTTACGATAAGCATAGAGTCCGGTATTAAAAACTGAAATCAATGAATTGTTATAGGGAAAAATAGAGCATTTACTTCTGGCAACCAATGTTGGATTTTTAAAGGATTTAAAAGGGGAGGGGTTGGGTAGAATTTAGCTACAAAAAAATTATCTCTGCTTTTATTGCAAATATTTTCATTGATTTTTATTTATTTATTTATTTATTTTTTTTTTTTGAACGCTGTGCCTTAACTAGCGGGTGGTCTGATTTTGTTTCCAAATGAGATTTTAGGCTACCATTGTTAGGCTCTACAATGTCCATTCGCTGGGTCCATTTTTTTCGTCAGCTATTAAACAGCGGGATTTCGACTGATTGACTTTGGAAGCGATTTGGATAATTTGGATTGGAAATTTTCGTTCGTTATTTAATGGGAATTTAATGATTTCGAATTGGGTGTTTTTTTTTTTTTTTTTTTTTTTTTTTTGAAAGGGGTTTGGAAATTGAATATTTAAATAGAAATTGAATAATTATTGAATATTTTTTTTCTAAAAATTATGGATATATTTTCTTCGATTTTGGGGTTTGGTTTTGACTTTGGAGGCGATGGTAATTTGGATAGGAAATTTTCATTCGTTTTTTGATGGGAATTTAATGATTTTGATTTGGGTTTTTTTTGTGTGGAAATTGAATATTTAAATAGAAATTGAATAAACATTGAATATTTGTTGTTTTTTTAAATTATGGATATATTTTCTTTTGGGTTTTGGTTTTATTCAAATTGAGAATGAAATGGGGTGTGAATGTTAAAAAATTTATTGGATATTGAATATTTATTTTTTTCAAAATCAGTTGGTATTTTTATTAAATTTTTTGAAAATGCCAAAAGAATGAAACCAAATTTTTTTCAATGCAAAAAACTGATTCGAGAGTTATTTGAATCTAAAGGTTCTTTTTTTAATTTGGGAATATTGGAAATGTTAACGATCTTTTTTTTTTCAAAAAAAAAAAATGGAATGAATTTTCAAAAAAAAAAATGTTTTTCAAAATTTTAGCTATAAAAATTGTTTCTTTATTTATTTAAATCTAAAGGTTCTTTTTTTTTTTAATTCGGGAATATTGAAATTGTTAAATTTTTTTCCAAAAAAAAAAAAAAATGGAATAAATTTTCAAAATATTTTTTTGTATTTGCCAAAAGAAAATTTTTTTCAATGCAAAAAACTGATTCGAGATTTATTTAAATCTAAAGGTTCTTTTTTTAATTTGAGAATATTGAAAATGTTAACGATTTTTTTTTCACAAAAAAATGGAGTGAATTTTCAAGAAAAAAGTTTTTCAAAATTTTAGCTAAAAAACTGATTCGAGACTTATTTTATTTCATTTTTTTTTTGAATTTTTGGAATATTGAAATTGTTAAAGATTTTTTCCAAAAAAAAGGAATTAATTTTCAAAAAATATTTATTTTTCAAAACTTTAGCTATTTTTCAAACTTAAAATCAATTTTCAGAATTTTATTTTATTTAATTAAATTTTTCCTCTCTCTCTCTCTTTCTAGATTCTCACATCCCCCATTTGTGTGACAATGTCAACTGTCCCCCCTTGTCGGAGTTGCACTGCCCCGAGGACAGCGATATCCGGGAATTGATCTCCGAACCCCTGATCATGGAAGAAGAATTCAACAATGCCTCCCAAATCGATCCACTGGATGAGGCCTTTGCCTTTTGCTGTTTGTCCCAGAAATGTGTCTGCAAGACCTGTTACATACCCGACTGTGCCAATGATGGTGAGGTGGTGGTGGAAATTTCCCCCGAGTCCATGGACAAGCCAGGCCATTGCTGTGGTGAATATGAATGTCACAAGGAACCCAATTGTACGGCCGAAGAAAATACCGACAGCTATTGGTTGAGCGATTGCCAACGTTGCAAATGTCAGGCGGGTCAAAAGATCTGCCATCAAATCTGTGATGAGGGCATTAAGAAGACCGGTGCCATTTGTGAGTCGAAGAACTTGAATAAATTCTTTGAACATGGCGATACCTGGAAGGATGGTTGCTATGACTGTCGCTGTGTCAATGGGGAGCCAAATTGTGTGATTAATTTCTGTAGTGCCGTCGATTGCCCAGCCCATCGTCAGGTGACATTGAAGAATAGCTGCTGTCCCGTTTGCTGGCCCAAGGGTTTCCCCATGCCCAATGGGGATGATGAGTACGATGATAATGGAGATTCGGGTCATCATTATGATGATGTGCATGACTACAATGAGGTGGAGGATAATGTGGAGCCAAATTTGGAATTGAAACCCATTTTAGAGGTGGAAAATGCCACAAACTCAACATCATCATCATCGAGCTCCACAACAACCAGTACCACATCCACCACAGCTGCACCCAGCACCAGTATCACCGAAAAATCCTCTACCACTACAACAAGTACCTCCACCACCTCGACAACCTCGACCACCACCCCAAAACCTGAAGAAAAAACCACACAAAGTCCTGTGGAATTTTTACACAAACCCACCGAAGCCTCGACCACCTCCCCAGCCCTACCTTGCCCCACTGAAGGCTCAGCCTCCACCTCAACCACCACAAGTACCACACCTGGTCCTTGCAGCCGCCAAGATGCCGCCTCTTACCAAGTCTATCCTCAAGTTGTAGAACTTATGCGCTATAGCCAACACAATGGTATCCTCTATACCATCATAGGATGCCTCTCGGTCCTGGTTGTGGGCCTCACCGCCTGGAATATCCATCTCAAGGCGAAACAAAGATCCTATCGTCCAGTTTCCAATTTTGATGATAACTGTAATACAATGTCTAATATTAAGAAAACAAATGATTATGTTTAAGAGAGATAGGGGGTTGTTTAACGATAGAGAGAGAAGAAAAAGAGAGGGATATAAGCAGCTAATATTGAGAGAAAGAGAAATGCAGGGGAATCTATTGGGAGGCGATACAAGGGGATTTTAAGAACAAACGAAATAATTCATAAATATTTTCCAAAGAAAATAGAGGCAATACCTCTGAAGGGCTTTTTACGAATAAGACCCTCCGAAGGACTTCTCGACATAAAAAATAAGTTTTGTGCCGGATGGACTTTGAAACAATTTCTTTAAAAAACTCATTTGGAGCGTGGATGGTTCTCGAAAATCGTCATAAAAGTCGAAAAGCTTCTTGAGGTAGTTTTTCTGGTCTGGTCATGGAAAAAATCTTAAAAAGCAGGGTCCTTAAAAAATTCTTTAAAAATCCTCGTTTATAGCTTGGTAGGTCCTTGAGAAAAATTGTTTAAGAAATTCTCTTTAATGGCTTGGTAGGTCCATGAATAAAATTCTTAAAAAAATCCACGTTTACGGATTTGTAGGTCCTTGAGAAAAATAATTTTAAAAATCCACGTTTACGGATTTGTAGGTCCTTGAAAAAAATTATTTAAAAAATCCACGTTTACGGATTTGTAGGTCCTTGAGAAAAATTATTTAAAAGATCCACGTTTACGGATCCGTAGGTCCTTGAGAAAATTTATTTAAAAAAATCCACGTTTACGGATTGGTAGGTCCTTGAGAAAAATAATTTTAAAAAATCCACGTTTACGGATTGGTAGGTCCTTGAGAAAAATAATTTTAAAAAATCCACGTTTACGGATTTGTAGGTCCATGAATAAAATTCTTTAAAAAATCCACGTTTACGGATTTGTAGGTCCATGAATAAAATTCTTTAAAAAATCCACGTTTACGGATTTGTAGGTCCATGAATAAAATTCTTTAAAAAATCCACGTTTACGGATTTTTAGGTCCTTGAGAAAAATTATTTTAAAAATCCACGTTTACGGATTGTTAGGTCCTTAAGAAAAATTATTTTAAAAAATCCACGTTTAGCAGGCACTTGAGAAAAATTCTTTTAAAAAATCCACGTTTGGCAGGCACTTGAGAAAAATTATTTAAAAAATCCACGTTTACGGGTCAGTAGGTCCTTGAGAAAAATTATTTAAACAAATCCACGTTTGTAGCCTTAATCGTCCTTAAACATTCTTTAAAAAATACGCGTTTACGGATCCGTAGATCCTTAAGAAAAATTATTAAAAAATCCACGTTCGTAGCCTTAATAGCCCCCAAACATCCTTTAAAAAAATTGTTTTTAAAAATCCTGATAGGTCCTTAAAAAATCTTTAAAAATCCTGGCTTATAGTTAGGCAGGACCTCGAAAAAATGTTTTTAAAAAATCCACGATTGTGGTCCTGAGAAAGAAATCTTTAAAAAAATCCAAGTTTATAACTTTGATGGTTGTTGAAAAATAAACTCCTTCAAAAGTCCTCGTGTTTTATACTTCTAAACCTCAACAGGACATGCCGATTTAAAAAAAAAATATTCCAAGCCACGTGGATTTCTAAAAAAATATTTCCAAGCCTCTTCAAGATACGTGAATTTTTTTAAAAAATATTTCCAAGCCTCCACAGTTCACGTCGATTTTTCAAAAATCGTTCCAAGCCTCGGAAGGACTCATGGATTTTTTATTAAGGATGTTTTAAGCCCATAAAGTATTTTTAAAAGTCAAAAGTTCCAAGTCTTTGCTGTACACGAGGATATTTTCGAAAATATTTTCAAGCCTGTACAGGTCACGTGGATGTACAGGTCACGTGGATTTTTTACGAGATCAATTTAAAAGAATATTCTCAAGCCTCTAAAGGACCTTTGGATTAAACAAAAATATTTCCCAGCCTTTTCATGTCACGTGAATTTTTTAAATAATATTTCCAAACCTCTATAGGACACTTGGATTTTTTGAAAATAATATTTACAAGTCTCTACAGGACATCAGGACCTTAATTTTTAATATTTTCAAGCCTATGAAGAACAAGTGGATTTTTAAAATATAATATTTCCAAGACTCTACAGGACACCTGAACTTTTTAAAAAATATTTTCAAGTCCCTACGGGATGCGTGGATTAAAAAAATATATTTCCAAGCCTATACAGGATAGGCGGATTTTTAAAAAAAATATTTTAAAGCCTCGACAGACCACGTGGATTTTATAAAAAATATTTTAAAGCCTCTACAGGACACGTGGATTTTTTTTTTAAAATATTATCAAGCCTCTACAGGACACGTGGATTTTTTAAAAAATATTTTCAATCCTCTACAGGACACGTGGATTTTTTAAAAAATATTTTCAAGCCTCTACAGGCACTTGGATTTTTAAAAAAATATTTTCAAGCCTCTACAGGACACGTAGATTTTTTAAAAAATATTTTCAAGCCTCTACAGGACACGTGGATTTTTTAAAAAATATTTTCAAGCCTCTACAGGACACGTAGATTTTTTTAAAAATATTTTCAAGCCTCTACAGGACACGTAGATTTTTTTAAAAATATTTTCAAGCCTCTACAGGACACGTGGATTTTTTAAAAAAATATTTTCAAGCCTCTACAGGACACGTAGATTTAAGACTCTACAGGACACGTGGATTTTTTAAAAAATATTTTCAAGCCTCTACAGGACACGTAGATTTAAGCCTCTACAGGACACGTGGATTTTTTAAAAAATATTTTCAAGCCTCTACAGGACACGTAGATTTAAGCCTCTACAGGACACGTGGATTTTTTAAAAAATATTTTCAAGCCTCTACAGGACACGTAGATTTAAGCCTCTACAGGACACGTGGATTTTTTAAAAAATATTTTCAAGCCTCTAGAGGAGGAATTATATGAGCCTCTTCAGCCTCTCCAATATCCTGCTTCTCCCCATGAAAGATTTACCCCACATTTCTCCGAAATAATATTAAGTTGTATAGTCTTAAAAAGCTACTGTTATAATTTTCAAATGTTTGTGTTTTTTCTTTCTGTTATCAGTGAATAAGTTGTTCTTGTTTTTGCCCACACCTTTTCTGTTTTGTCCGTTCTTTTTTCTTTCCTATAGCGCTGAGGATCTCAAAAATAATACAGATTTATTAAATTGAAAAAAATTGATTGAAAAATTATATTCCCCAACAAAAAATGAAGAATATTCTACATTTTATTTTGTTAAATAAAATTTGTAGGTCCCCCTTTTTTTAGTTTTATGTCATTTACAAAAAAACAATTAAAAGTATTCATGTATTAATTAATAAAAAAATATGATATATTTAATTAAAGTTATTCTATATTGGCCTTAGTTTTTAAATAAAATATAACCAGAGATAAGAAAACATCAAGAGAAACCCACAATAGTTTTAGAGGGGAAGGGGAACTTGAAATCGTAGGTTGGGTAATGGGACTGGGATGTCATTTAGCCAAGTCATAAACCGGCGAAATTTTATGGAAATGGTAAATATTTTTGATAATTGAGTTACTTTAAAGCTTCTTTTCAGCGTTTTAACGATCCTTTCGAGCCAAGAAGCGAGAAATATTTCTTGATTAAGAAATCAGGATCTGTCCTAATGGAAGTGTTTTAGATTTTCCCTTTTCCCTAATTGGGGTCGTTGTTGTATACCGTTTGAATATATAAACGAAAAAAAACTCCAAGCCATTAGGACATGTGAATTAAAAAAAGCCTCTACAGGATACATGTCACGTGGATTTAAAAAAAAAATATTTCAAAGCCTTTGTAGGAAACGTGGATTTAAAAAAAATATATTTCAAAGCCACTACAGGACACATGGATTTAAAAAAAATAAAAAAAGGCTTCACAGGACACGTAGACTTTTTAAAAAATATTTCAAAGTCACTACAGGATACGTGGATTTTTAAAAAATATTTCCAAGCCTTTACAAGGCACTTGGATTTTTAAAAAATAATTCCAAGCCTCTACAGGACACGTGGATTTTTTAAAAAATATATTTTAAGGCTCTATATTAGACGGATTTTTTTAAAAATATTTCCAAGCTTTTACAGGACACGTGGATTTTTTAAAAAATATTTCCAAGGCACACGACCCTTTGTGTATTTTTTAAAAAATATTTCCAAGCCTTTACAGGACACGTGGATTTTTTAAAAAATATCTCCAAGGCACACGACTCCTTTGTGTATTTTTTAAAAAATATTTCCAAGCTAGAACATAACACGTGGATTTTTAAAAAATATTTCCAAGCCTGAACAAACACGTGGATTTTTTAAAAAATATTTCCAAGCCTGAACATAACACGCGGATTTTTTAAAAAATATTTCCAAGCCTGAACATAACACGTGGATTTATTAAAAAATATTTCCAAGCCTGAACATAACACGTGGATTTTTTAAAAAATATTTCCAAGCCTGAACATAACACGTGGATTTTTTAAAAAATATTTCCAAGCCTGAACATAACTCGTGGATTTTTTAAAAAATATTTCCAAGCCTGAACATAACACGTGGATTTTTTGAAAAATATTTCCAAGCCTGAACATAACACGTGGATTTTTTGAAAAATATTTTTAAGCTTGAACAGAACACGTGAATTTTTTTAAAAAATATTCCCAAGCCTGAACATAACACGTGGATTTTTTAAAAAATATTTCCAAGCCTGAACAAACACGTGGATTTTTTAAAAAATATTTCCAAGCCTGAACATAACACGCGGATTTTTTAAAAAATATTTCCAAGCCTGAACATAACACGTGGATTTATTAAAAAATATTTCCAAGCCTGAACATAACACGTGGATTTTTTAAAAAATATTTCCAAGCCTGAACATAACACGTGGATTTTTTAAAAAATATTTCCAAGCCTGAACATAACTCGTGGATTTTTTAAAAAATATTTCCAAGCCTGAACATAACACGTGGATTTTTTGAAAAATATTTTTAAGCTTGAACAGAACACGTGGGTTTTAAAAAAAATATTTCCAAGCCTGAACATAATACTTGTTTTTTTGTAAATATTTCTAAGCCTGAGCAGAACACGTGGATTCTTTGAAAAAATATTTACAAGGTACTACAGGACATATGGATTTTATAAAAAAGTATTTCCAAGCCTGAACAGAACACGTGGATTTTTTAAAAAATACTTCCAAGCCTTCAGAGGACACTTGAATTTTTTAAAAAATTTTTCAAAACCTTTTTCAAGGCACTACCAATTATGTAGATTTTTAAAAAATTACAGGACACGTGGATTTTTTAAAAAATATTTTCATGGCACTACAGGAGACGGATTTTTATAAAAAAAATTTCTAGCACAGGAGGAGATTTTTTTAAAAAATATTTTCCAAGCAGATTTTTTTAAAAAAATAATTCCATGCACAGGCGGATTTTTTTAAATATTTCCAAGCCGGATTTATTTAAAAAATATTTCCAAGCCGGATTTTTTTTTCAAAATATTTTCAAGGTGGATTTTAAAAAAAATATTTCCAGGCACAGGAGGAGATTTTTTTTAAGAAATATTTCCAGAGCAGATTATTTTAAAAACTATTTCCTAGGCTCTACAGGAGACGAGGATTTTTAAAAAAAATATTTCCAAGGCTCTACATTAGGCGGATTTTTTTAAAAAAATATTTCCAAGGCTCTACATTAGACGGATTTTTTTAAAAACGTATTTCCAAGTGTCTACAGGACACATGTCCTTTTCTAAATATAGTCTATTTTACATTCAGGCGATCCTTAGGTTTATGCTTTTTCTAGACCTGAACCTGTAATTTTTTTATTGCGGATCTTGGCTAATTGATTTTTCAGGACTAGAAATCGTTGCTAAAAAGCCTTTCCAAGTCCTTGATATCTACAATAAATTTTATGAAAATCGATTAGGAGACTCGAAAATAACCAAAAAAAAGATCCCAAACTCCCCGGACAATTTCGAAATACATCCTCCCATAGCTCCCAATATCCTCCCTTTTGTTGAAAAATATTTCATTCCTAATTTTATTAAAACAATATCATTGATTTCAAGTTCCTTTTCCCAAACGATTTCAAACCAAGAAAATGAAAATACAATACACTTAAATAATTATTATTAAAACCCAAAATAATTCAAGAAGAAAAGTAAAGAGTAAACATTAAAAGAAAAACCTAAAATGTCTGGTAATATAAGCTTTCTTATATATTGATACAATAATTTAACTATTATTTATGTGATATCTATTGTTAAGAGAAACAAATGAAAAAAATATATACAATGCTAAAATAAAAAAATAAAAAACAAAATAAAAAATAATAAAAAATATATAATTAAAAATAAAATATGGTTAAAATTGTATTTCCAAATTATCGGCAAAAAAGCCGAAATGCTGGAAGGAAAACTAAAAATTACAATTAAAAAAAATTTCCCTTTAATTGCATATATTTTTTTAAGCAGATAAAATTAAAATCTTAAAATATTGTTATAAATTTTATTATTAAAATTAATATGAAGTATTTACAACACTAACTATATAAAAAAGCGCATGCATTGAATTAACAATGCAAGTATACGTTGTTGTCTTAGTTATAAATACCGATGCTAAAAGAAAATAAAATACAAATTTTATTTTTATTAAAAAAAAAAAATTACTTTGATTCTGAAAATTCTATAATATTTTAAAATTAAGTTTTATTACCCTTTTTTTAAGTCTTTAAATACACAACGAAACATTATTATGATATATGAATTAATTAAGAAATAAAATAATACAAAATCAACAATAAAATATTTAAAATAAAATATGAAATGAATTTTTATTTCGGCATGAAATGGTAAGTCATGAAATTTAAATTTTTTAGACGTCAAAAAAATATTTTCAAGATTCTATAAAAAAATGCATTTTTAAGAAAAAATTATTTACAAGGCCCAATAAAAAATTAAAAAACAAAATATTTCAACCTAAATAGAAGATTCAAAAGAAATATTTTCAAACCCATATAGAAAACGTGGATTATTAAAAAAATATTTTCAAGGTTCTATAAAAACTTGGTTAAAAAAAATTTTCAAAATTCAATAAAAAAAGTGGATTTTTAAAAAAGATTTTTTTTAACGCCATATTTTAATATTTCCAAATTTCTATACAAAATATGGATTTAAAAAAAAAATATTTTTCAAGTCTATGTAGAACAAGTGAATATTTTTAAACAAAATATTTTCAAGGCTCCATTGGATTAAAAAGCCTTAAATTGTCTGAATCTTGAAGGTGTGTTGCTTAGTTGGTTTTTTTCTTCCAAACTTTGCCCGGCCCCCCTTCTCTTCTACCATACCTTATGTTTGCAATACAAATTTCCCCATTCCAAAAGCTTTTGGCATTAGCTACGTTTTAAATCTATGATCGTTAGCATTGGTGATGATGCGATATGTCTTGTTTATTCTTTTGTTGTTTTGGTAGAATTAAGCCAGAGGGGAATCTCCAGCCAGCCAGCCATCCATTCATCCATCCATCCCAGCCACTTCATTTGGCAGGAGGCCAAAAAGCAAAAAAGAAAAAAATCCAACGAGGATTAACTCTTGAAAATATATGAGTTTATGAAGTATTGTTTACAAGGCAAGGCTGCCTGCCAGCCTAGATGCCAGATACTTCGTTTTTGGCTAAACGAACGGTATTGTGATGCATCTTGGCTGGAGGTATAACAAGAGTCAAGGTTCAGTTATTTAGCCGCACCTGGTTTTCTTTAGAATGTTCTTTCATTCATTCCATGGCTTAACGAGATGTGAGAGAGTGTGTGTGTGTGTGAGTGCAACTTCTGCTATGAATTGTAGTTTTCTCCAAATAGATTTTATGTTATTGATATCAAAAGTACAACAAAGAGCTGTTATGTTTTCAAGGCAAACAAGGCGGATTAAAATTTATGGAAGAGACGAGAGTGGTGGAAAATGGTCAACTGAAAACTTATTTCAAAAAATCCACGAAAACAAATTAATAAATATTTTAAAAAATTCTCGTTTTTAATAGAGCTTTGAAAATATTTTTTTAAAGATTCCACGTTTTCTTACAGAGAATTGAAAATATTTTTTTTTTAAATCCCCGTTTTTTATAGAACCTTGGAATTAGTTTTTTTTTTTATAGAGCCTGGAAAATATTTTTTTTAAATCCACTTTTTTATAAAGCCATGAAATATTTTTTTTTTTAAAAATCCACGTTTTTATAGAGCCATGAAAATATTTTTGAAAAGTCTAGGCTTTTTATAGATCCTTGAAAATAAATAAACTTATGAATAAATAAATAAACTTTTTTTATAGAGCCTTAAAAACATTTTTTTAAATCCACGTTTTTTATGAAGCCTTACAAATATATATTTTTAAAAATTCACATTTTTGTAGAACATTGAAAATATATATATTTTTTTAAATCCACGTGTTCTGCATTGGCTGGAAAATATATTTTGAAAAATCCACGTGTTCTGCATTGGCTGGAAAATATATTTTGAAAAATCCACGTGTTCTGCATTGGCTGGAAAATATATTTTGAAAAATCCACGTGTTCTGCATTGGCTGGAAAATATATTTTGAAAAATCCACGTGTTCTGCGTTGGCTTGAAAATAATTTTTTAAAAAGTCCACGTGTACTGCATTGGCTTGAAAATATTTTTTTAAAGAATCCATGTCTTCTGCATTGGCTAGAAAATATTTTTTTTTAAAAAATCCACGCGTTCTGCATTGGCTTGAAAATATTTTTTTAAAAAATCCATGTGTTCTGCATTGGCTTGAAAATATTTTTTTAAAAAACCACTCCGTCTGCATTGGCTTGAAATATTTTTTTTAAAAAATCCTAGTGTTCTGCAATGGCTGGAAAATATATTTTAAAAAATCCACGAGTTCTGCATTGGCTTGAAAATATTTTTCTTTAAAAAATCCATGTGTTCTGCATTGGCTTGAAAATATTTTTTTAGAAAATCCATGTGTGCTGCGTTGGCTTGAAAATATTTTTTAAAAAATCCACGTGTTCTGCATTGGCTTGAAAATATTTTTTTTAAAAAATCCACGTGTTCTGCATTGGCTTGAAAATATTTTTTTAAAAAATCCACGTGTTCTGCATTGGCTTGAAAATATTTTTTTAAAGAATCCACGTGTTCTGCATTGGCTTGAAAATATTTTTTTAAAAAATCCACGCGTTCTGCATTGGCTTGAAAATATTTTTTTAAAAAATCCACGTGTTCTGCATTGGCTTGAAAATATTTTTTTAAAAAATCCACGTGTTCTGCATTGGCTTGAAAATATTTTTTTAAAAAAATCCAGGTATTCTGCATTGGCTTGAAAATATTTCTTTTTTAAAAAATCCACGTGTTCTGCATTGGCTTGAAAATAATTTTTTAAAAAGTCCACGTGTTCTGCCAATGGCTTGAATATATTTTTTTTAAATCCAAGTGTTATATATAGACTAGAGAATATTTTTTTTTAAAAATCCACATTTTGTATAGAGCCTCGAAAATATTTTTTTAAAAATCCACATTTTGTGTAGAGCCTCGAAAATATTTTTAAAAAAGACCCACGTTTTCTAAATTACTCAATTATTATTACTGTATGATGGGCTTTTCAGGTAATTCGAATATCATTTTTAATGCATTTCTATTTCGAGCATTTTCATGCTAACGACCTTCGATAAAATCTACATACCACTTCCATTAACCTTGAAAATTAATAAAGAACCAAAACTGAAAAGTGCTCACAGAAATTTTTTGGATTTTCAGTGAATCACTTCCAAATCGTTGGAAATGTCAAAGTTAACTGTTTTATTAATTTTTTATAGTCCGCTATTTATACTGGCCACGGTTTGTATAGAGAAATTTCCAAAATTCTCAAAAAAGAAAAAAGAATCACAAATATTCAACCCCTCCTGTAGCGTCCCTTCATCCTCGAATTCGAATCGCTGAAAGTTGAATTTGATTCGAAATATATGAAAAATATGACCATGCAATTGATTGACCACAATGGACGCAAGGTCATGAATGGTAGCTTCATTTTGTGGGAAGATCTGATGGAATTCAATATTGTAACCAGCCTCCGGGCTAGACGTGCCAACGGCAAGCCATGGAGTATTTTCAATGTCACACTGAACGGTTGTGATATCCTCGGGCCAAAGGGTGTTCGTGGAAATCCCGTGGCAGTGGCGTATCTGAATGAGGTGCAGAGATTTATGCCAAGCCTACCCAAAAAGTGTCCCCTGAAGAAGGTAAGGGAGGGGGGAGGTTTTCCATTGCTTTTTTTTGTTGTTATTAATTTTTCTTATTATTTTTCAGAATGTTTACTATTCGCTAAACAATCTCTGCTTCAATGAGGATGCATTTCCTCTCTATTTACCCGAAAATACATATTTCGTCTTTTTCGGAGTGTCACGAAAGAATGTCTTTATTACGAAATTTCATATCGTAGGTCTAATTTTAGCTAAAAATGGTGAAAAATATCGTAAAATGTATGGGAAAATTTCGAATTAAATAAATTTTTTTCGATATCATTAGAATTTTGTAATTATGATTATAGCTTCGGGATAATCACTTTTTTCTGGGACATTTAGAAAATTGTAAATAATTAGTCCAGCCAGGCTAATTGAAAATTTACATCAGATAAAAACAAAATCTACAATTCTAACAAAAATTAGTTTTAAAACAAAAAATTTAAAAATTTTTAGAGGCATTTTCCAAAAATATGCCGCTCATTAAACTACTAATAATTTTCTGCTCTCTGCGTGGAGGTTACGGCTTGGTTGGTATTGAATTAAATTTTTGAAAATATTTTTTTTCTTATAAATCTCCTTTCATTTTTAGCGTTCCTATATCTTCGATTTCTCCTCCTTCAAATATGACATTGATCCCAAGGTAATGGCAAATCTTTCACTGCAGCTCGTTGACTACAAGGGCCGTAGGGCCATCAACGGTACATACGAATTACACGAAGATTTGCAGGAATTCACAATGGTCAACACGGTTACACGTCGCCATTCCAGCGGCCGGCCACGAACGGTTTTCAATGTCACTGTCAATGGCTGTCAGGCGCTCGAGACGAGAGGCATTAATGGCAATCCCCTGATTACCACATTCATCAATGAACTGCATAAATTTATGCCAGATCTGCCGAAAAAGTGTCCCTTTCAGAAGGTAAGTTTCAATATTTTGAAAAAAGAAATAATAATACAGAATTATCTCTCTCACTCTCTCCCATAGCACAAAGTATACTCTCTCCACAATTTATTTCTCAACGAAGAGGCCTTTCCACCCTATCTGCCGGAGACTCAATTTGCGGCATTTTTTGGTGTGATGGGCAAAAAATCGTATTTTGTAAAAATTAATGTCGAACTTAGGATTGTCGATAAAAATAAAATAAAATCGAAAAATAAATCATTTAATTAAAAAATATAAAATAAAACTTAAAAAAAATAATTAAAAAATAA